GAGAGAGAGAGAGAGAGAGAGAGAGAGAGAGAGAGAGAGAGAATAATGCTGCAATAAACACGGGGATGCAGATATCTCAAGATAGTGATCTCATTTACTTTGGATAAATACCCAGAAGTGGAATTGTTGGATCACATGGCAGCTCTATTTTTAATTTTAGGGGGGAAACTCCATACTGTTTTCCATAGAGGTTGCACCAATTTGCAATCCCACCAACAGTGCATGAGGGTTCCCTTTTCTCTACATCATCACCAACACTTGTTATTTCTTGTCTTATTGATAATAGCCATTCTAACGGGTGAGGTGGTATCTCGTGGTTTTGATTTGCATTTCCCTGCTTATCGGTGATGTGGAGCATCTTTTCATGTACCTGTTGGCCATTCGTATGTCTTCTTTGGAAAAAAATATTAATATCTATTCAGGTCCTTTGCCCGTTTTTGTGTGTGTCTGTTTTATGTGTCCGTCTCTGCAGGTCTGCCATTCTGTCCTGTGTGTTCTGCTCTGTCTGTGTCTCTGTTAGGTTCTGTATATGTATTTTCACCTGTTTCTGTATCAATAGCTATGTTTATGGATTCATGCGTGTGTCTATCTGTCATTCTTTATCTGTGCCTGTCAGTGTCAGCCTGCATGTTTGTCTCTGAGCCTGTGTGTCCACTAAGACAAAACTCAGTCATCCTCACAGATCAATAGGGACAAAACCCTTCAGATATGGGGCTGGGGAGAAGAAACCATGGCCAGGCATGACGGAAGTCCTGGCTACAGGTGAAGATAACAGCACACCTGAATGTTTAGAACTCAACAAGAATGAAAGCACTGAATAGCCAATCCTATGAGATGCAGCCAAAGCCATTCTCAAAGGGAAATGTATAGCCTTAGAATGCATTTATTAAGAAATGAGAATTATCCAAAACAAATAGCACATCAGCTTCAGATAAAGAAAGAAAGAGTAGACAGAGCCTTGGGAGATTGAGTTCAATGTCACAGATGAGGAAACGGAAGCCAAGAAAGTTAAGCCGCTTGCCCACGGTCACAAAACAAAGCAGTCCTAGCAGAGCTGAGATTCAGAATCAGGTCATTGTTCAAAGACTGTGGAGACTTCTGGCATCACTTGTTTTTGAACTCCATTTTAAAAAAATTACTTCAATAAAAATATATCCAACAAAAAATCTGCCATGAATTCAAAACAAGTGCTTTTTGTCCTCTTCACTGCACTTCCTGGTTGCTCAAATGTGTCACCTCTTGCTCAAAGAGCTGTCCTCATCCCCCAGGACTGGAACCTTGCAACCTTGACCCTTGATATCTGGGATGGGGGAGGGAGGACTCAGCCCCAGAGACTCTTGGGTGCTCATTCCCCAAAAGCAGAACCAGGAAGGAAAACCGGGCAGAAGCCAAGCTAAGAAGGGGTGGGCAGCCCCTCTGTTATCCTCCCTCTGCCAGGAAACAATTTTGTAATCCTGACCCCTCCCTTTCCCCTGCCTGGCTCAGGTTCAGTCCCTATCAGGAACAGGATGCGGGTGGGGACTTTCCTGTGGTTGGTGCCCCTGCCCCCAGTTCAGGCAGGTATAAGTCCACCGCACCAGACCAAGGGAACCTAGATGGAAAAAAGAGAGGTCACCATGTCCTTTTGGAGCCCAGAGCGAAACCAGAGGTAGGTCCCCACCCCGCCATTCCTGGGCAGGCTTGGAAAACAGGCAGTGAAAGAATATTGCGTCTGACCCACTGAAGTCACAGGGCCAGATGTAGTCCTGCAGGTTGGAACAGACCGATACTCAGGCTCTAACTAGGACAGGCTTACTCCCATACACACACTCACCTACAGATGCCCCAGACAGGGAGTGGGAACCCACCCCCCATGTCAGAGGCTTGCTGGAGGGACCGGGAGGAGCAGAAACCCCAGCCCTCCAAGGGTTACAATGCCAACTGTAAACCATCCCAACCCAAGGCCAAGTGACCTCCACCAGACTGGCTTTGGGCACTTTCCATGTTCCATTTTGGAGCTGTGGGTTACATCCGAATGTTTGGAGCAAGATGGAGCTAGACACAGACAATCTAACCTGGTTTGGTCAGAGCTGGACAGGGAGAGGAGGAGCCCAGAGGGGGAAACTGAGAGTTCTGCTTTGGATAGTCAGAGAAAGCTTCATGGAAAAAGGGGCATTGGAGCTGGGGGGTTTTCAGGATGGTTAGGAGTTTGCTGGCTCTACCTTCAAAACATTGAAAGGAGAAGGTGAGTGCAGTAGTCTAGGGGAGCAATGAGGTGGCATGGTCCAGGGCAGTGGAAGTGGAGATGGGAAGAAGTGGGCAGATTCTGCATATATTTTCACTGAGCTGGGTATATTTTCATTGTGGCTCATTAAGCACCTTCTGTCATTGCCTGTAGCCCAGGGGGCGTGGATGCCCATCTTTCTAGAACCTTGTTCCTTCTGCTACTAATTGTGGCCCCCTCGGCCCAGGGGGTCATCCAAAACCCTGAAGCCTGCAAAGTGTTCCAGTCAGACAACGGCAGCTCTGTCAACTGCTACACACCCGCCAAACTCCCCCCATACCTCCCAGCCGACACCATCTACCTTTCAATGGAGTTCCTCAACCTCACCCAGCTGCCACCGGACGCCCTCCAGGGCATTCCTAACCTCCAGGAGCTGCACCTTTCTAGCAACCAGCTGGAGAACCTCTCAGCCAAGTTTCTGTGGCCTGTGCCTCAGCTAAAGGTGATCGATCTAACTCGCAATGCTCTGACTCAGCTGCCCCCTGGCCTCTTCCAGGTCTCTGCTGCCCTCCATACCCTGGTGCTGAAGGAAAACCAGCTGGAAGTCCTGGAGACCTCATGGCTGCACGGCCTGAAAGCCTTGGTGCATCTAGACCTGTCTGGGAACCGCCTCCAGACCCTGCCCCCTGCGCTGTTGGCCAACTTCACTGACCTGCGCATCCTTGACTTTGGCAATAACCAGCTGGAGACCTTGCCCTCTGACCTTCTGAGGGGTCCCCTGAAGTTGGAACGGCTGCACCTGGAAGGCAACAGATTGCAGGCACTCGAAGAGGGCCTACTGGCACCCCAGCCAAGCCTGCACTACCTTTTCCTGAACGACAACCAGCTGGCCACGGTGGCAGCCGGCGCCTTCCGAGGTCTGAAGCAGCTGGACATGCTGGATCTCTCCAACAACTTACTGACCAGCGTGCCCAAGGGGCTCTGGACATACCTGGGGTGGCCTGGGGCAGCCCAGGCCATGAAGGATGGCTTTGACATCTCTGGTAACCCCTGGACCTGCAACCAGGACCTGGATGACCTCTATCAGTGGCTTGTGGCCAATAAAGACAAGATGTTCTCAGGGAATGACACACGCTGCGCTGAGCCTAAAGCCATGAAGGGCCAGATGCTCCTGGCTTTGGCCATGTCCCATCTGGAGTCTAAGGCTGGGGAGGAGATAGGGGTGATGGCTTCGAAGAGCACTGCACCCTACTAGGCAATTCATCCCCCCTTTTAAGAGTGAGGCAGGCTTTCCAAGATTACCAGACCCATTTTGCCCATGCTTCCCAAAATACCCTTTAGGTTCTCTGGCCTTCTTGCCATTGTTCAAGCTGTACCCTCTTCCAGGAATGCCTTCCCCATTTCCCAGGTCTCTTGGTCTTCCAGCTCCCTTAGCTCGCTCACCCTCCCTCTGGCCAGGCCCTGGCCACACAGCAGCTGTCTCTATCTGATTCTGCCTCCCCCAGTTTGGGGGACTCCCTGAGTGCAAGGCCTGTGGCTGAGTTGCCTCTTACTCATCACTCAGTTAGGGGTCAGGCCCAAGGGGTTTAATAAATAATTGGCAAACATAATTGGACAAGTTGGAATTCTTTGTGTTCTTGCATCTCCCAAGTTGACTTCCTAGGTCTCCAGGATGGAGGAGGAGGAGAGAAGAGGCGTGCCCCGGGGCCTGGGTTTCTGGCTGTGAAATCCCAGATGATAGCAGTTGGGATCTAATGGCCTGTGGCGTCTCCTCCCTCACCCCGTCCTGAGGTTTAACTGGAAATAAAACCCTGACTATTGCCCAGGGTGTCATTTTACTGGTGGATTCCTGCCAGAGCTTGTGTCCTGGGGAAAGTTTAAATTAAACCAGATTGCTTCAGGTCTCCAATTTGTCATGCTGGCCCATGATAACCCAGGGGGCAGTCACCCAGGGCAAGCGTGAGCAGGCTGGACGGGTTGAACAGATGGGCAGAGGCCCAGAGGGCTCTGTTCTCACAACGCAGAACCTGAGGCCACTTGTTGACACAATGCTGGGCATGGTAGGGGACAGGATCAGATTAGAGGGACCCTAGGGTGTTTGAGCCATACTTGTCTTTTTTTCAGGCCCCTGGAAGGAGTGTCATGCCCAGGTTGGTAGTCATTACAGGCGTGATGATGAAACCCAGGGGTCTGGAGTATGGCAGAGCTGAGTTCGAATGAAATCCCTCAATCGCTGTCGGACCCAGGCATTCTGAGCCTCAATTTGCTCATCTGTAGAACAGGGAATCCAAGAGAATGAATGGTCCGGCATGGCTTCTAGTTTAGCTAAGTTGCAGATATAAAAAAACAGAAAGATCTTGAGGACTTGCCCAAGGTCAATTGGCAGGGAGGTGGGGGCTGTGATCCCCTTCCACTGTCCCCACCGCAACAGCAGCGAGGGTGACAGGTGGCCGGACTTGGCCAACAAAAAGTAACTCAATCCTTGGGCATCCAGCGTCCACAAATTGCTATGGCAATCGCAGAATGCTTCGGGAGCCCCAGGGAAGTGCGAGGGGGGCCTGGAACCCCGCCCCTGGGGCACGCCCCCGCACAGCCTCTCCCCATTGGTATGTCTCCGGAGGCTCCGCCTCCCGAGCCGCTATAAGGCAGGCGGGGCCGACAGTAAGCGAAGACTGGAGCCAGAATCTGGGGTCCGCGGCGGCACCTGGGGTGCTGAGGTTGCGCGCGCCCAGGTGAGTGCCACGCGGGCGGAGTTCAGGAGCACCCCGCAGGCCCGGGGGCTCCGGATCGGGTGGGCGGGTGGTCAGGCGAGGGTCCAGCGGCGTGGGGAGGAGAGAGGGGTGACAGGCTGGAGCAGGTGGCTGAAACCCTTGGCCCAGTTGGCTGAAGCTCAGGACCCAGTTGGGCGGGGACCATGGCTCTGAAGGCAAGGGGTGGAGCCGTTCACTCCGTCCCCACGGACGGAGTGAACGGCTGGCGGGGAGTTTGAGGTCGAACTCCCAGCTCTGAGTCGGCTTAAGCTGAGTGACCTTGGGCCCAGCATGGACCTGCTGTATGCCTCAGTTTCCCTGTCAAAAGGACTGTGGGTTTATTGGGATTCCATAGTTACCACCTGCATACCTGCAGGGGGCTGCTTGTGCTATTCTGTCAGGGACAGGGGCAGGGGCAGCAGGGATCTCCCCTACTTTGCAGAAGAGGAAAGAGCCCAGAGAGGTGAAGGCACTTGCCCAAAGTCACACAGCAGATAATGGCAGGATTCAAACCCAGGTCTTTCTTCCAAGCCCATGCTTTGAATCATTGTAGCGCCCCTACCTTGCCAGAGGCTCTCCAATGTGCACCTACTGTGTGCAGAGCTGTGCATACACTGTCTGTGCCCCTCATGACCCTGAGGTAGGTATTATCATTACCCAATTTTTAGGACAAGGAAACTGAGGGCCTAAGAAGGAACAAGACTTGCCAGAGTCACAGAGCCCAGCCAGATAGAACACAAGGCCTGGGTGGGAGCTGGGAGGGCTGACATGAAGGTACCTCCCCTCACTCTGTCCTGCCCTTCAGGGTGACCCTATTCGCAGGAGGCATGTCAGAACATGATGAGGTGGCTCAGGCCCCCAGACCCAGCTTGTGGGAGCAGGACCAGCAGGTGAGGGGCTGTGCCTCCTATGGAACAGGGCATGGGGAAGGGTGGGAGATGGTACCTCCCGGGACAGCTGCAGGCCGGGTACCCCCTCCCACCTCTATCTTTGCTGTGAGCCCCTCACTCTGAGGACCTTTTGGACCATGAAGGGGGTTGGCATCTCTGCGCTTCCTACCCGTTTACCAGAGGGTCACAGTGTGAGGCCTGAGGAGGAGAGTGTCTCTCCAAGCACATCCAGCCAGTCTCCCTGGCCCCTATCCAACTCTCTCTCTCCCACCTCTGGGTCTCCACCCATATCTCTGTTTCTTTGTCCATCATCACGGTACTCTTAACAACAATACTAATAGCAGCAATCACAGCATCTACTATGTATGCATCAGTCACTTTTCCAAGCGCTTCACATTCATTGGCTTCCAGAATTCCCATTACATCCCTAGAAACCCATTTTACAGATGGGGATACCGAGGCACCAAGCAGTTCACTCATTTGCCCAAGCTCACACAGCTTGGAGTTGGCTGAACCAGAACTGAATGCAGGCAGTTTTGTCCCAGAGGCTGTGCCCTTGTTTACCAGATTCTTTCAGAACTTGTCACACTGCGTGTAAGCCTGTGAGCACCTTCACGTGGGTTTCCACTGCCTGCACACAGCCAGATGCTCAATATACATTCTGGCCCATAGAGAGGAAGTGGGCTAAGGTGTGGCTGAGTCTCCCAAGTCCCCTGGGGGTTCCTCTGATACCACCCCTTTCCCGCAGAACGTGGTGCAGCGTGTGGTGGCCCTGCCCCTGGTCAGGACCACGTGTACTGCCGTCTCGGATGCTTACAGTGCAGCCAAGGATAAGCATCCGCTGCTGGGCTCTGCCTGCCGCCTGGCTGAGCACTGTGTGTGCAGCATAACCACCAGTGCCCTGGACCACGCCCAGCCATTGCTCAGCCACCTGCAGCCTCAGCGTGAGTCCCCCTGGCCCGAGGGTCCGGTGGTTGCTCCACGGTTCCACTCGCTCATGTTCCATCTGCATGGCATTCCCTGGGGTGGGCCGCCTGACCTGGGTGTCCCTCCTCAGTCTTACCTGTCTTGTGTGCCTTTAGTCTGTCCGCCTTGCCTGTCTCCACCCCAACCACCTGTGTCCTCCTCGCTCAGTTATTTTGCCTGTCCCACCTCCCTCTACCTGTTGGCTTACTATGTTTGATTGCCTGGCCATTTGCCCTTAGTTTACTTGTGGCCCCCTCCTTCTGTCCCTATTCCATCTGTCTCAATGTCCCCCTCCCTTGATGGCTGGCCTGTTGTGCCTTGGGTCCCCTTTGCCTGTCCAGCCTCCCTGCCCCGTCTGCCCTTCTGTCCCTGCTTCCAGTTATCCTGAAGACCCCATCTTCCCAGACAAGATCAGGAGGCATCAGATGGGGGAGGGGAGGCAGAAAGATTCTTGGCCTCACTTCTGACTGAGGAAGGGGACCACCTGAGGGTCCCAGCCCAGGGCCTCCCTGCCTCCTTCTCAGCCAGCTTGTATGACCTTGAGCCTGCTTGCTGGGGCTGAGCCGGGCATGAGTGTAGAGTCACCTTGGTGCTGGCAGGAGCCAATTGCAAGGCAGAGGCAGAGAGGGCAGAGAAGGCTGGGCCCAGCCTGGTGGCTCACCCACACCCTCAGGGTCCCTGGCCCCTCCCCAGGGGGCCAACCAGGTTCCCCCTGCCATAGACGTCTTCCTTGATCTCATCTCTCCCTATCTCTGTTTCTCCCCCTCTCTCTTTTTTCCTCTGTCTCTCCCTCCAGCCCAGCACTCCCTCCCTCTATGTCTCTCTCTGTGTCCTTATCTTCCTAGTCAGTCCCCTAATTATCTTCCGTCTCTTTCCCTCTCTCTATCCCTCTCTCCCTCTCTCTCCCCAGTGGCCACAGTGAATGGTCTTGCCTGCAGGGGTCTGGACAAGCTGGAAGAAAAGCTGCCCTTTCTCCAGAAACCCTCGGAGATGGTACTGGCACCACCAGAGGGTGGGGCTCTGCACGGGGGTGGCGGTGGGAAGGAGGAGGCCTGCTTCCTCCAGACCCAGCCTGAATGCCTCTGCCAGCTAGACTCGGGGACTGAATCAGGCTTTGGTTAACTTAAAAAACACCAGCCGGATTAAAATAATTGGCACCCACATTATGGAGCACTTAATATGTGCCAGTAGGTGCTGGTGACCCCTTCAGCCACCCTGTGAACAATTTTCACGTCCCCCAATTTATAGAGGGGAAATTGAGGCCCAGAGCCGGGAAAGGGACCAGAGATCCTTGACTCCCAGCTTCAGGGAGCTGAGGGGCCACAGAAGGGAGTCGGAGACCAACAGCACCTGGATCGGGGCTTCTCCCACCAGGTGGTGACCTCAGCCAAAGGCGCAGTGGCCAGCAGTATGACAGGTGTGGCGGGCCTGGCACGGCAGGGCCGGCGCTGGAGCGTGGAGCTGACGCGCTCCATGAGCCGCGCTGTGGATGTTGTGCTGGGCAAGTCAGAGGAGCTGGTGGACCACTTCCTGCCCATGACCGAGGAGGAGCTCGGTGAGGCTGGTGCCCTCCCTTCCCCATCCCTATCCCTGAATCCTCCTGCCCAGTCCCCATCCCTGGAGGTTACAGATCAGAGAGGCTTGGGACTTGCTCAAGGCCACAGAGCAGATCAGCAAGAGACGTGGAGCTGGGGCCCAGCCCTGACCTCCCACTCTGCTTCCACAGCCCCCCAACTTGCATCCTACTAGAAATCAGACCTCCCAGGCCCCAAGAATGTAAACGGCTTCTAGACTTGAGGGCCGTGGTCTCAAACTGGTGGCCCTCCAAATTGTATTATCTGGCCTGCACAGTGCCTTTCAAATGTTTTAACTCATCATATGCATTTAACAATCAGATTTTGCCCCAACACATCCCGATTTCTGGATTGCCTTGAAAAACTAGACACCTGGGTTGAAGAGCACCTGCCCCTTTATATGGTTCCCTTAAACCCCACCTTTTTGCAACATTCTAATCTTGTCTGCAAGCCCCGAAGACAATCTGACTTCTCAGCCCCTGCTTTATGGCACTAGAAGAACATGTTGGCATGCAGAAAGGTTATGAAGCATCTACTGTGTGCCAGGCACCTGCGATATATTCTTTAAGGGGCAGCTTAGAAAGTGGTTAAGAACAGTCTAGAGCCAGAGTGCCTGGGTTCAAATCCCAAGTTTACCTCTTGCATCTGTGGGACCTCACGTCTCTGCCTCAGTTTTTTCCCCATCTGTGAAATGGCTAGTAATAGTACCTACATCATAGGGTTTAGGGAAGATGGAATGAGTCAATATTGGTAAAGGGAAGCTATATATTTGGGAGCCCATGGGCTTGTCCACTCAGCAGGAGGGTGAGCAGACACGGAGGTGGTAGCCACACTGACCCCCACCCCACCCCCACTCCTGCATCCCATCCTCTAGCGGCACTGGCGGCTGAGGCTGAGGGCCCAGAGGTGGGCTCTGTGGAAGAGCAGAGGAGACATCAGGGCTACTTCGTGCGCCTGGGCTCCCTGTCAGCACGGCTCCGTCACCTGGCATATGAGCATTCTCTAGGGAAACTGAGGCAGAAGAAGCACCATGCCCAGGACATGCTGGCCCAGCTGCAGGAGACTCTGGAGCTGGTGAGAGCCCCCTGCCAGCCCCTGCCCTTTGAGGCTGGCTAGTAAGCATGGACTGTGTGCCAGCTGAGTACCTGGTTCCCTGCTAGTCTGAAGGGGGAGGCAGAACTGAGCTCAGCTGCTTCCAGCCATGTGTGTTCAGGACTGGGGAAGAAGGGGGATCTGGGGCTGGGGGAACTCAGGGGGTGCCAAGGCTCAGCCTGGGGAGCAAGGAAGGGGTTTCATGGAGGAGGCGAAGTAGGAGCTAGAATTTATAGGAAGTTAAGGTAGGTCAGGAGCAGGAGGTCAGCACCTCTTTCCTTGCTCTCCTGTCACCAATCCCAATCCTCTTCATCCTTTAGGTTCCGGCTCACACCTGGCTTCTTCCCCCTTTGTCCATCCTTCCTTGCTTCAAAGGAACTTGACAGCTCATGCTTACTGGGCTTGAAGCCCCAGCCTGCTTATCTTGCATCCTCTCTCCCCATCTCAACTGCAGCAGATCCGCCTCTGCTCCCTCCCACATCCGACCCATCTGCCATACTGTCTGCTCTGCCCTGTCTATCCTGAATCCACCCACACCTCCTCTCCTCTTTCTCCACCTGGGTCCAGCCCCCATGATTGCTCACCTGGTCCCCCACCTCCCATCCTGGATCCCAGTCTGTCCTCCCCGCAGTGGCCACCAGAGGTCGCCTGTGAGCACTTGAGTCCTTTATCACTAAGCATAATATCAAGTTTCATCCATTGTTGTAGTGTGTCAGAATTTCCTTCCTTTTTATGGCTCAATAACATTCCATTGTATGGATGGGTTGCAATGTGTTTGTATGCATCTTCTAATACCTGCCCTGTTCTGGGTACCAAAGGCACAGTGGCCCCGTCAGAACACTCACAGTCCACTAGGGGGATCAGGGTCATGATGGGGAACACAGCAGGTGCTGTAGGACCCAGGTGAGGGATCCACCCAGCCAGGAGGGGAGGATGGAAGGCTTCCTGGAGGGGGTGATATCTACATTGAAATTTGAACTGCAATGAACCAGGCTGGGAGGTGGGGTGGAGGGAAGAGTGTACCTGGCGGATGGACGAGCACAAGCAAAGGCCTGACAGTGAACCTGAGCATCAAGGGAACTACAGGTTGCAGGGTTTGGCTGAGGGCAGAGGAGACAACGGGCAGGCTAGCCAGGCTGGATCAGCAGCTGAGGAGTGTTGCACACAGAAGTTGATCCCTAAATACTTATTGAGGCCAGACCTAGGCTACAATTGGCTAGACTAGGTCCTGGCTCCCCCAACACTCCAAATCCTCCAGTTCTGACTACCACTGGTCCCATCCCCGCAGATTGACCTCGTGCAGTGTGGGGCAACCCCCACTACCCCAGCCCGCCCCGGGAAGGTACACGAGCTGTGGGGAATGTACCCCCTGGAGAATGGTCGCCGCAGCAGCCAGGTAGGATGTCAGGGAGAGGGCAGGAGGTCGGGGGGAATGGTTCTGGATTCACTCAGGGTTCCCAGGGGCCAGGCTCAAGCTGTCTCTAACCAACTGCTGAGGTCAGCTAGTTGGAGTGTCCATGGGGGAAACAGAGACAGAGCAAGTCTCACTGTGGATCCTTTAGGGAAGCTGAGGCAAGACTCAGTCTTGTTGTGTGTCCATGGGGGAAACTGAGGCAGGGCAACAGTCCCATTGTATGTCTATGGGAAAATAAGTCAGGGCAGTGATCCTGGCATGGGTCCATCCGGGACACTGAGGCCCCTTCCCTTCCCACAGGCAGAGCTGGAGACGCTGGTGCTGTCCCGCAGTCTGATGCAGGAGCTACAGGGCTCGGTGGATGCACTGGAGACCAGCGTGCGGGGCCTGCCCGCTGGTGCCCAGGAGAAGGTGGCCGAGGTCCGGCGCAGCGTGGATGCCCTGCAGGCCAGCTTCGCCAATGCGCGCTGTTTCAGGGATGTGCCGGCAGCGGCGCTGGCCGAGGGCCGGGGCAGCATGGCCCGGGCCCATGCTTGTGTGGACGAGCTGCTGGAGCTGGTGGTGCAGGCCATGCCGCTGCCCTGGCTTGTGGGGCCCTTTGCACCCATCCTCCTGGAGCGGTCCGAACCCCCGCCTGACCTGGAGGACCTGGTGGATGAAGTCGTTGGGGGCCCCGACCCCCGCTGGGCGCACCTGGACTGGCCAGCTCAGCAGAGAGCCTGGGAGGCCCAGCACCGGAATGGGATGGGCTTCCCAGAGAACATTCCCGAGGAGGAGCCAGAGCCCCCCAGCCGTCCCAAACACACCCTGATGCCAGAGCTGGACTTCTGACCATACAGGACCTCAGGGCCGCGGCCCACACCCTGAGGTCCCTTCTGCCCCCTAGTGGCCACACAGAAACACTAACAGCCAATGCCTTGACCTTGGCCCAGAAACGGAGTTGGGGTTTAGGGGCCTAGTTCAAAATCTAGACCAGCTTTACTGATATCACCCTCCCCAATCTTTCCCTTGCACATTTGGGGACACAAACCTAACTCAGGTCCAACTAGTCGGAGCTGGGTTCACCTGTCTGCGGTCACCTGTTGCCCCACCCCAAGAAGCTGATCAAAACTCCTCGAAGAAACACATTTTGCCCAATGGTTTCCATTTGGGGCTTTGAAAAGTGAGCACCGCTTTGTCCCCCAACTTAGACACCCTGAAAGGTCCTCAAAGACGTTGGGCTGCACCAGCTGGGCCTGCCAGGCCCACTTGCTTTGCCGTTTGGGGTTTGCTGTCCAGAATAAAGGTGCTTCGTGTTGTCCCAAGGCCCATGGCCTCTATTCTGGCTGGGGTGAGTCTCAGTTGCACGGTGCTGGGGGCCTCAGAGGTATGTGACTGCATGGCATAAACCAGGGTTCGAGATTTGAAAGAAGTGATGCCCCTGACGAGCTTGCCATCCTGTCTGTAGTTCCACCATTAGTGCCCAACCCACCTGGGATAAGCATTGCCCCTTCAGATGTAGTTTCCTATAGTGGAAGTTCACACATTAGTATAAATGGGTTTGTTGGAAACTGTAGGGAGCAGGATCACGAGGGCGAAGAAGTCAGATGGGTCTGCCCCTCTTATGCCCACCTCCCTGGACCCGCAGGAGCTGACCTTGCTGTGGCTTCTCCACTGGTCAGGATGGAGGAGACAGAAGCAGGGCAACGGCCAAGGGCCATCCCATGGGGGCCCTCCCATCCTCTGACATTCTTGGCCGCCCCTCAGACTCCCTGGTGGCCAGGAGGGTGTTGGGAAACCACAGTCTGATGTGGTGAGGTCAGGGTGACCCCTGGTTTCCCTGGGACCCGGCCCAGGGGCAACTCTGGGAGGCCGAAACACTTCCCCCCGGCCAGGTTCAGGGACCTCCCTGGCTCCCTGACGCCCTGGGTTTCAGTCTCAGCCTTGCCTACAAGTGGGTATGCAAGGGACTTCCCCTCTCCAAACCCGTTTTCTCCTCTGCAAAGTGGGTATGAAAGTTGTAAGGCAGTTGTGCCAATCCTAGTAAACTCCTCACCCACAGAAGCTATTATTCACTCATTAATTTGTTCATTCAACAAATATTTATAGAGCACCTGCTGTGTGCCGGGCAGTTCTCTGCCTTGGGGACATGGCAGTGGGCAAAACATAAAAATCCTGCCGTTTGAAACTAATTCTAAAAAATGTGTATTTCATAATAAAAAATAATTTAATAAAAATATATATATATAGCTAAAAAAAAAAGAATCCTGCCGTCTACGACCGGACAATACAGTAGGAGACAGGCAATAAACAAGAAAAATAAATAGCTTTTCTTAGTGTTAGTAGAATGATGAGAAAAATAAAAGGGAGGGATGATGGGGAGTAGGTGTGTGTGTGTGTGTGGGGGGATACGAGGAGGGATGTATATTTTTAAATAGGCAAGGGAGTCCAGGAGGGCCTCTCGGAGGAAGTGACATGAGAAAAGATTGAAGAGCATTGCAGGCAGGGGGCACAGCATGTGCAAAGATCCTGGGGTAGAAATGTGCCTGGCATGTTGGAGGAACAGCAAGCAGGCCCATGTGGCTGGAGCAGAGTGAGTTATGGGGAGAGAGGGAGGAGGTGAGGGCAGGGAGGGGTTGGGGGAGGTTGTACAGGGCCCCATGGGCCATGGGGGAGACTTGGGCCTTTACCCCAGGGGAGATGGGTACCCTAGAGGGCTGTAGGCAGAGGGGGGATGAGACCTGATTCACTGTTTCAGATCATTTTTATTATTTTTGCTTGATTCCCCGCCCCCTCACTGGATTGTGGCAGCTCTGCAGGGAGAGGAGGGGCACACCCAGGGTCCACCCTCCCACTGCCACTTTTAGGAAGTGTTGGCTGGAGAACAGAGTTAGGGGCCCCCCTTAGTTTTTCCCCATCTGTTTGGCAAACACAGTGACAGCTCCAAGGAGATGACCCAGGGGTCATCAGGCCCAGCGGCTAGAATGTCCCTTCTTCCAGCTCAGAGCCCAGAGCCACCAGCTGGGTCTTTCTCCATCCCCTACCAGCATGACACTGTGATCCCTGCTTCAGCGGCAGGTAAAAGGAAAACAGCCCAGAGAGGCTGGGGCAGTCACTCCTTTGCTCATCTGCAGACCCAGCCACATAGCCCACTCTGCACACAGGCTCTCGGTCTCAGTTCGAATTCACTTCCTGGCTCTGTGGCATCAGGCATGGGATGCCTCCGCCAGGAAGCCACCATGGGTGGCCTGAGCCCACTGGGCCTGGCTCTCCCTCCTAGGGTGCCCCCAGTTCTGTTGGTGCTTTGTCTTGGTCTGCATTTTGGCCCTTTCTCAAAGACAGTCCCTTCTGGAGAGTGACTTGTCCCCTCCCTGCTCAGGACAGACCCTGCTCCTCTCTGACTGGACAATTGCTAAGCTAACACCTGTTGAGCACCTGCTGGGTATTAGGCACTGGGGTAAACAGGTCATATGTGTTACCTCATTTCACACTCACAACTACCCTATGAGTTGGCCCACTTAGCCAAACATTTATTAAGTGCTGACTGTGTGCCAGGTACTGTTCTATTGCTGGGGACACAAAGAAGGAGGTAACTGTGTGGGTGTCTGAGGAAGAGTGCTATAGGTAGAGGGCATAGCTCATGCGAAGGCCCTGAGGCAGGACCATGACTGGAGATTTGGAGGAACAGCAAGAAGGCCCCTGTGGCTGGAGTGATCAAGGGGGCGAGGGCCAGAGGAGTTGAGGCAGAGGGGAAGCAGAATATTGTGGGTCATGGTGAGGAGTCTGGAGGGGAAACTGAGGCCAAGGCATCCCAGTAGAGCAGAGATTTGAACCATGCCCATCTCATGGATGGATAGAGGCCAAGAAGGCATATAGGCCATGTCTCAGAGCACAGGATGGCCCATGAATTACTCAGCCTGGTGGGGGCAGGTGCCGTGGGCAGAGCGGCCTAGCTGAGAGCAGGGGAAAGGTGCTGGGCCTCAGGCCCACGCTCTGCCGGGTAGGCAGACACGTGACATCCCAGCGCCCTCCCCCGGCCCGCTGGCCAGCTGCCTCTACTGGCCAGGCCCACAACCGCCCCTGACCCTATAAGGCCCGGGAGCTGAAAGCTGAGCCGGCTGCCAGCTGCGGCACCAGTCACTCCAAAGGACCCTCACGCAATCTAGGTGAGCAATGCCAGGGTGAGGCTGGGTCTCCAGGTGTGTGTCTGGGGTCTGCTGAGGGTTATGGGTGTGGGGCAGGAGGCCTAAGAGCTCCCACGCACGCACCCTTTCTGCCCCCTTCCAGCTGCTTAGAGTATTGCCATGTCTGCTCAAGAGGAAGGAGGCCAGGCGCCCTCCAAACCCAAGGGCAAGGTGAGAAGAGGCCCGGGAGGGGAGATCCCTGCCAAGGCCTGGAGACCCCCCCCCAGAACCTTGTGAAGGTGACCTCCACAGTCCTGGGGTCTGGAGGGGGTTTCTGGGTGGGGTGGGAGGGTTCTGAGAGCCATAGTGCCAACTCTTCCCTATTGTCCCAAGCTGGGGGGTGGGGATTGGCTCGCACCAATCTCAGCTCCTTCCCTGCTATGTGACTTTGGGCCAGCCTCAGCCCCTCTCTGAGCCTCGGTTTCCCCATCTGTGAAATGGGGGCCGTGAAAGGTCTTGGAGATCCAGAGGATGTTTTTCCTCTGTCCATGAGGGGCTGGCTGCATCTGCCCATTGTCCAGGTAAGGAAACTGAGGCATGAACTCAAGGTCACCCAGGAGCAAGGGCCTGAGATGTGCAAGCCCAGGGCTGTCTGATGCTTTCCCAGTTCACCCCACTGTGGTCTGACCCTGCTCATGCTGCCCCCTCCTCACCTAGACCCTGGGCAGCTTCTTGGGGTCACTGCCTGGCTTCAGTTCTGCCCGGAACCTGATGGCCAATGCCCACAGCTCAATGAGAGAGGCCCAGCCCGTCACCGATCCGACAAGTGCTCCCACCCTGCAGGCCGCTCAGCCCCAGGCTCAGGGTGAGTATACAGTACCAGAGGGTGGTGGAGGGGGACCCCAACAATAAGAAATACCATAGCATGGACTTCTGGCCACTTTGGGGCCATCTCTATGCCTGTATCATCTCAATAGACACAAGGCTGGCAAAGTTTATTTAGTGCCAGATGGGGAAACTGAAGCATAAATATGGTAGGTGAGTGGCATAGCTAGCAAGAGTGGGGATGTGAACATAGCCTGTCTCCCTGCAGTGTTCCCCACGCTTTCCACCCCACTCCCACCTCCTATCATCCTGTTTCCAATACCCGTGGAACCAGGGGCTGGGTGTTCTGCAGGCCTGAGCTCACTGGGAATGGCAACCCTGGTTCCCAGAGGCTTCCCTGGGGCGATGCAGCCTGGGGGGTCTCCCCACCTTCAGCTGCTCAGGCGGGGTGCTAGGGGCATGCAGAAGGGCTGATGCAGGGGGCCCAGGGTTGGGTGGTTGTCTGAGGTGGGTCCCACTGTGGGCCCAGAACCCCAGGAAGCTGACTTCTGCTCCACATACCCAGGTCTGACAGGCAGTAGCTGGCAGGGGCGGGGCAGGGCCCTGACTCTTCTCCCTGTGGCCTCCCGTGGGTGGGTGTCCAGGACCCAGGCAGAAAAAAAACCAGGGAGCCCTTACTCCAGGGGACTGAGGCCCTGGAGGACCAGAGGGAGTCAGGCCCATGGCTGTAGATGTCACCTCCTGCTGTCCCTGGCAGGGTAGCTGGGACATTCCTGACCTTTCAGGCGGTGCCCATGGGTTGTGCAATGGGCACCAGGGTAGCTGATGCCAGCCCGCTTCCCTCGTCCTCCCTGGGGTGCCTGATTGGCTCCTGTCCCCACAGCAGCCACTGACCCAGAGCAGACGGCCAGAGGGGTGGAGAAGTTGCCGCTGTCTTCAGACAAGGTGAGAGGGGCTGTCAGAGCTTGGTCTGATGGCCTCCGCCTCCCTCGGGGGTGTTTTAGGGCCTCCTCCCGGGATGTTTTGGTTCCTGCCCAAGGAGAGGGCAGATGCCAATGCATCCTGCTGTGGGGATTCCAGGCGGATCCTTCTCCTCTGAGCCTCCATTTCCACATCTGTGAAGTGGGTGCAGTACTGCCTCACTGGCCGGCACAGTCAGGCTCCAGTCTACAGTCCCTCACTCTGTGTCTAGCACAATGTAACCCAAACAATGGCAACTCACTCACCATGTGTCAGGCTCTGTGTGACGTGCTTTTCATGTGCTGCTTAATAGTTAATCCTCTCAACCACCCTGTGAGGAAGGTAGCAAATAGTACCCAACACCATAGCTGAGGCACAGAGAAGCTGAGCCACCTGCCAAAGATCACACAGCAAAATCCATGGGCAGAGGCTGCATCCACCCTTGGTCCTGGATAAATGGGGAGCACCCGTGTTATCCTGTCCCCAAGGCCAGGCCAAACAGAGAAGCTGATGTAAGCCAGCTGAGGCCACAGCACGTGGAACTCCTGATAAGAACTCCTCCACCCAGCACACGCCCCCACTCTGATCTTCCTAGTCTCCCTCTGGTCTCAGCTCAGCCAGATCTAAGCATCTCAAAAGGGTGAAGAACTGCTGGGTTCCCCCTCAGCAGGCCCTCTGACCCAAATTAAAACCCTTACTCCCTCCCCATTTATGCACTCCTCTGCTCTTCTTCACTCATGCTAATTGAGCACCTACTACCTGCAAAGAGCTTCGGGCACCTTGATTCATCTCTTCCACAATCCTTGAAGGAGGTGCTGTTTTATTATTATTTTTATTTTTTTATTTTATTTTTTTTAGCTGAGCCATCCTGCCACGTGTTGGCAGCTCAGCTCAGGCCGGACTCGAACCACTGTTGCTCAGAGCTCAAACCCTTGAGCGAGCTCTTAACCAACTGAGCCACTCGGCCGGCCCAAGGAGGTGCTGTTTTAACCACCATTTTTTAGAAATAGTCTGAGAGGGGATGTGGCTTGCCTGAGGTCACACAGCGAGTGCGGTAAAGAACTGGGATTTGAACCTGGTCTCTGTAGGCAGAGCCCAAGGTGCTCACTTGATTCAATGCTAGGCAGGAGGCAGGTAGTGAGAATAAAATTTCATGGCTTCTCAACCTCAGTACTGTGGCCATTTGGGGCCGGATTATTCCTGGTTGTGGGGCTGTACGGGGCACGGTAGGGTGTTGCACAGTATCCCAGACCCCACCCACTCAGCGCAAGCAGCACCCTCACCCCCAAGTCGTGACATCACAGATGCCCCCAGACATCACCCAGTGTCCTCTGGGGGGCAGCACTGCCCTGGGTGAGAATCACTGAATTTAAAATAGTACACTCATGGCTGAACCTGAGTGGTGGCAACCCTGAGGCCATCATAACCCTTTGGTAGTTTGGTTGAGCTAGAGACAACTGCCCTCGGATAGGTCAAAAACGATTAAAATTATCGACAATGTTCTATGGCTCGAATCCAATACTTGTCCTTGCAATTTTTTGATTGTTACTTTTCTAAATATTCGTTCATTTTAATAAGCAATCTGATCTCTCCACTGTTAAAAGGGAAACCAGGCTCAAATTCTGCCATAAATGAAAAACACGTAATTCAATAGCTTGCTGAGCCCAAAGACAAGGCACCTTCTCAAGGGTTCCAGAGGTGTTAGGGACCCACTGTCGCAATAGGGAAGATCTATTGTATCGAGGGAATAATTTGATACCATGATGAGCTTGTTAAGGTCAAGTGTGGAAGGCCATGGGAACATCAGGGGTGGGAGGTGAAGAGGCGAGGCCTTTGGGTGACAGGTCCCTCTCCCCAGGCACAACAGGAATAGGGTTGGCAGAAGTCCGGGGTGTGAGATGCCTTCCTCCTCTGCTCTTGCCTACGTGTGTCTTTTCTCATCAGATGATCTCCGGGGCAAAGGACCTGGTGTCCTCCACGATGACCAAGACCAAAGATGCTATCTCCTCTGGGGTGGCCAACGTGATGGACTCAGCCAAAGGCATGGTCCAGGGTGGTCTTGGCATTACCCAATCTGCGCTCACGGGAAACAAGAAGGCTGTGGCCAGTGGGGTCACGGGGGCAGTGGGCATTGCCAAAGGGGCCGTTCAGACTGGTGTGGACACCAATAAGGGTGTGCTGACTGGCACCAAAGACACTGTCTACACTGGAGTGACCGAAGCTGTGAGCATGGCCACAGGAGCTGTCCAGGGGGGACTGGACACCTCAAAAGCTGTACTCACAGGCAGCAAAGACACCGTGACCACCGGACTCACCGGGGCATTGGGTGTAGCCAAGGGTGC